AAGTTTCAGAAACTTGTGTTTAGCTTTCATTTCCTTGTGAAAAGCCTTTCAGTTTGCCTCTGCATAGGAAGAATGCAGAGACTATACTTTCTCTCCCGATTTCATATTACTCAGTGTCCACTTGTAAGGGTCAGAGGCTAGAAATGACCAAGGTTTGGAAGAAGGTGGTTTGGCAACAGTTTCAGAGTTGGTAAAAGGAAATATTTTTTCCCCTTTACCACTAAATTAGACTGTGGAACTCACTGCCACTAAATATGTCCTTGGACCAATAATTTAAAGACTTAGTAAAGGTTTGGCATCTTAAATGGAATAAAAGGTGATCCAGGGTCATAGTAGCTCTCATTAACCAAAACAATAGGGATATAAAGCTACTATAGATGGACCCAGGCTAAGTGGCCACACCAGGGTGGGGCCCAGTTGCCACATGCTCAACAGGTGTCTTATTTCCCTATTTTTGTATCTTGCCCGCCACAACTTGGTGCAACTATAAAAGATATCAGGAGGTGGTACCTGATCGTTCAGGGTTTGTTGACACCAGTGCAGGTCACGATGACCAAGAGTCTTCTGTGGGGCTCCTCCTCCCCTACAATCCACTCCTTTCCCCTTGGGTGTTTTGTTGGTGATCAGACTAGGTGCCTGGACTTCCTAGATGCCTAGCTTCATGTGCTAGGTAGACAGGTCCATGTAGGAAGGAAACCAAGTGGTCAGCATAAGTTGGCTTAGCCCGAGGGTTTGTTATAGGTCTGTGATCAATGGCATCTATTCCATGTAAAAAAAACCAAAACAAACAAACCAATATAACTTAAACAAGTTATACCAGTCTGTGTTTGCTTCAGGACTCACATTGGCCCTGTAGCATAACATGGCCACCTTTTTCCAGGTGGTTGGAGCTCTTTAGGGCTCACCCCCTGGTATGAGCCCAATCCAAGATGGCTCACCTGTTTTAAACCAAGCCCTTTGGGTAGCCTGGGGCCACGATTATGAGGACCCCCATGTGGCCCTTGAAGATACCCGACCTCCAGTGGCTGCGTGAAGTTCAGAGTTCTGCAGGGAGAATTGGTGTTGAGCTGGTCTTCGAGAGCAGGTCCTTGGCTCTGCTGCTGGAGGGATACGACGTGTTCCTCTCTTTCTAAGGCCAGTGCTGCCTTATACAGGAAGTTCCAGGTTGGCCTGGGCCAACCCAGACCCCTGGCTGCCACCAGGTGCCAAGAGCCCTAGAGCTGCAACTGCAGCTTCCAGGCTCTAGGCAGCACCAACTGTGCCAGCTGCCTGTGCTCTTCTCGGGCTGAGTCCCGGGCTCCTGTGGAGTCCGGCTTCTGGCTCTCACTCTGACCCAGGCCTATGGACAGCATGCTTCCACTGGCTACTCATCCCACACAGGCAGTGAGGGTGCAGAGGAGTGCGCTGTCAGCCTGCAGGCTCACTTCTCTCCTTCAGGGCTGAGTGGGAATATACTGCCTGTAGAACACTCCAGCAGTCATTGCCCCAGTAAGTGCAGGGTCCCTACTACAGCACATTCTTGATATTTAAGCCAACCTCCAATTATTGGAATGAGACCTTCATAAGGGAGGGCTTATCCCCTCCTCCCCCTACCCTCATCTACCTGCTTCAGACCTCCCTGCCATTGTCTCTGCATCTTTCGCTGCAAACCCCTATTGGGGACAGGATCCTGAATCAGTTGGTGTCACAGGATGGGGTCCCCAGGGATAGCTGTGATACCCCTAGGGCTCCTTGACCGTGCCAATCCTGCCCAACGGGCACCCTCTTTCTCTTCTGCCATGTCTTGTTGTACTATAATAAATAGGGAGGCTGCCCTCAAGTTTGTATTTTGGGCACGGTCCTGATGGACCCCACTGAACCCTGTGGGTTCTTGGACCCCTTTTGGGTCCTGCTCCAAAATGGATGCCTCTCAGGACACCCTCACGCTTATGCGCTAGGTTTGTGGTTCCAAACCGCCCCTTTACCATGCCCCAAGCCTCACAGATGGCATTCAACATTGTCCTTCCAAGGCCTTAGTTTAGCTTGGCCTTCGGTCATCACCAGGCTCTCCGCAGCCCTGTCTCTCTCTCAACACCCCCTGGAGCTGGGCTCTCCGCCCACCTCCTTTGTCTGGGGTCTGTTCACCCCGAATTATGGCACCCACACTGGCACTGGGGTCTGTTCACCCCAAATTATGGCACCCACACTGGTGCTGGGGTCCCCACACTGTAGTGGACCCCCAATGAGGCCTCCTCCTTCCCAAATAGCCTCAGCCCAATCTTCTGGATTTATAAAATAGCAGCCAAAAATATGAGCCCCAGGCTAATAACATAACACAAAAAGTTCAGGGTGTTCTCTGTCCCTTTAAAAGGAGTCAAACTTCTTCCCCGACACTAAGTGCCTCATAGGCAAAGGTACCTGGTGAGCTCCTGGATCCCCATTAGCCCTAAGTGCAGCATCTCTGGGCAGTTCTTCCCTGAAGGCTCCTTCCCCCTTGGCTGCTGGCAGGAAACTGACTCTCTAGTCCCAGTCCTGGGGTTTATATGTGCCCAGGGCCCTGCCTCTTCTGGTCAGCTGACTGTTTGCAGGTGCAGGCTAATTCCCTCCTTAGGCCTGCTGCCACAGTAACCTGTACCTGTGGGATTCCTGCCTGACTGCTCTGGGCAGTTTCTGCCTTTAAACGAGCAGGCACCTTAGTGCCCTGTGACAGTTGGATACTTGATCTAATTCAATAGCACAATTCCTGTATTTCCTTATCATGGAAAGTCAGTAAAAAGTTCAGGGGAGTACACAGATTCTGAAAAGGCAGGAACTCTCCTCTCAACTAAATGTGACTAAATGTGAGCAAGTTGCTTACAAGGTTATGATACGGATTTCTTAGCAGCTTATTTATTTTTAAACTCTATGACCACATCCACACGAGCTAGCATGTGTCTGTTGTGGCATCTCAAAGCAGCTTGAGACACCATACAAGGCACGCCATGAACTAAAAAATGTTCCCCATGCTGCGTATTTTCAGAGCAGACTCTAAGTTTGATACTAGGGAATCCCGGTATCAAAAGAAAACACACCAGAAAAAAGCAGTGTAGGGTGCACTCCTGGAGCATGTCCGGAAGCAACTGGAGGCTGGGTCCTCCAAGGAGATGCTGTAGCTCCTGGCCAGAGCGTATCTATGCCTACCACATGCCCCTGCTCCTCCAGCATGCTGCCTCAATGTGCTGAAGGAAATGGAAGTGGGGCATGGCTGGCAGTAGTGGGTCAGAGCTGGCTGGGACCCAGGCTCTGTCTTAGGTTGCCCCAGAATCTGCCTGGCACCCAGGATCTGCTCTGATCCCAGGCACAGCAGCAGGACCAGGCAGGCTGCCAGCTTGGTCCTGGTTGAAGGTGTGTGCCAGTGGGCTGGGCCAGTTCTGTGCACCATGTGTAGTCCCTGGGACTCAGGCAGCACCATGTGATGCCAGGGGGCTCTGCCTGCAGTGGGCCAGGTGTGCTCCAAGTGTCCACTGCTGGCTGCTGCTACAACAAACTCCAGCAGTATATGGTGGGCCAGGAGCTCACCCGACCTGATGGTGTGCGGCTTCTGCCTGCACTGCTAGGAGACCTGGGTGGTGGCAGAAGCCAGCCTGGTTCTGGCTGAAGGCATGTGCCAGCAGGCTGGGCCAGATCTGTGCACCACATGTAGCCCCTGGGAATCAGATGGCACCGTGCGCTGCTGAGGAATCTGCCTGCGGCAGGTCATAAGCATCCTGAGGACCTGCTGTTGGCTGTTGCTGGCCGCAGTGGGGGATGTACACACAGTCCCCCCACTGTACAGAGTTCCCCCATACAACACGCAGTCCTCTCATCCCTACGCAGTTCTCCTACTCCCATGTCCCTGCTTACCAGGGTGGCCCATGGTCCCTGCCACAGCCTCTGGGTCCTCCTGACTCAGCTGCTGGCCCAGACAGACCTGGGTGCCTCTGCCTCTGGGACACCAGTACAGCTGGCCCCTATGCATGGCTGGCACCTGTCTCCACATGGCAGGCACGTGGAGCCAGCAGCCAGCCCAGTCCAATGGCACATGGCTTCAGGAGGGTTTCTTGGCCCCTTTGCCCCCTTTTCTATGCACTGAGATTGCCTCCTTCTGTGCCCGACGGATTGCTTCCTTGAGGAACGACCACCCTTCCTGGACCCCCATTTTGTCATGAATGAGAAGAACTAAATAACAAACTAATTGTGGAGCAGTAGTCAACTTCTGCAGACCCTTTGTCTCTTTCTAACTAGCTAGCAGTTCACTAACCGAGGGACTGTCTCTCAATTCTTAACTCCCTCAGTTTCTTATTAGGGAGCATCTCTGAACTTCTATCACTACTGTAACAGCTGCTGCTGGGTTTGCAGCAGGGCTCAGGATCCCTGCAAAGTCAGAGCAGGAAAGTTTGCAGAAAGCTGTTACTTGCAAAAGCATATTCTTGTTTTTGCTTGGCTCCTGAGGCAGTAACCCCGTGGACTCAGTCAAGCTCAGAGAAGGGAAGGCAACCCAGGACCACAGAGCTCGGGGAGGAACCACCATGCAGCCTGCCTGTAAGATGAACCTGCCCTTTGTGAAAGCGAGAAGATAACCTGATATCCCTTTCTCCCTCTGTGAGGCAGAGACTAGTGTGGAGGGGAAAGGGTGGTAAGGTAGACTTGCCTAGGAGGGTAGGGTGTTGATCTGGGAAGGCTCTGGGGAGAGTTAACAGAACCAGTCTGGGGCTGGGCGGGTGATAAACCCAGGGTTGTTTCAGTTATCAGCACAAGGGGCTGTGTCTGGGAATTGGAGAAAGGTACTTTTTGGGAGGGAAGACAGTGTGCGTTTCTTTGCAGATACCACAAACAGCTGGAGCAAAGGAGAACTTCTCTCCCCCATGCAAGCTCTAGCAGAGAGCAGGACTTTCTGAAGCAGCAGCACCAGCCATGGGTACTGTGCTGCCAGTGTGAAGGAGAGCTGATGTTTGTGTTAACCCTGTGTGCTCCTGCTTAGAGCTGATGTCTTGTTAACTCTGTGTGCTTCTGCTGAAATTCACTGGAGTCTCAAGGTTTAAGCTGGGGCGTTGTGCTGAGGGTGTCTTTGATTCAATTTGTACAGAGTGTTTTAGTTAATTGATACCTGACCTTGAGAATTAGGTTATTGATATCCTGCTCTGCTATTATCTTCATTCATATGTTGACTGTTTTGTAAATAATAAACTGTGTAAATAGTTAGACTATATGTACTCCAGTGTGTGGGGAAACCACAAGAAAGCACTCCATGGAGAGGTGGCCTCAGCCTTAGTGGCTGGGAGGTTGACTGAGGTTATTTGACACCCCAGGACCCTGAATCAGGATGTGACCATGGGTAGCACCATGGCTACGGTTACATTACAATGTAATTATTAAAAATAGTATTAAGCAAAGTGGGGAAAGTACGGTTATACAAGTAACCTTAATTGTGGTATTCCTTAACTTTTGAGTAGTTATGTCCTTTTAGCTGAGGTTTTAATATTGTTTTTCTAGCCTTTTAAAAAGAATATACCAACAAGTTCTATCATGTGCAACCAAGGGTCTTCCCCTTGAATGTCCAGCTGTGATTCTTTTCTACCTATTTACTATCTAAGTGGATGTAGGCACACAAGTGCAATTCTACTGCATACTTTTCAAGTCCTTAAAAATCTATTAATGCATCTACTATTGTAACACACCATCCTCTTCCCCTTAAGGCTGAGTCACCAAACAGCAGTGAAGAGGAAGAGGATCACCCCACCTTTTGTATTACCAGCTTTTCAGAGACTTGAAAAGGGTAGAATAGAATCACATCTAGCTAGGTGCCTACGTTCATTTACATGCCAAATAGGTGAAATGGAATCTGATTGTAGTGGGACCCAGGCTGAGTGGCTACACCAGAGTGAGGCCCAGGTGCTGCATGCTCAATGGGTGTCTAATTCCTCTGCTTTTGTATTTCTCCCGACATGACTTGGTGTCACTGAAAAAGTTGTCAGGAGGTGGTACCTGATAATCTGGGGTTTGTTGTGATGGTGTGGGTCACGATATCCATGAGTCTTCTGGGGGCCACTTCCCCTACACCCCTCCTCTTTCCACTCAGTTGTTCTGTCAGTGACTGGAGCAGGCACCTGGTCTATCTAGGCATCTGGCTTCATTTGTTAGGCAGCAGGGTCCATGGGGGAAGGAAATGAATAACTGAACATAACTTAAATAATGTTATCCATGCCTGCTTTAGGCCTGCTTTTGGCCCAACAGCATACCTTGGCTCTCTTGCTCGAGGCAGTCAGGGCTCTTCAGAGTTCGCCCTCTTATTTGAGCCCAGACCAAATGGACTGGCCTGTCCTGTGTGGGCTGGCCAAGTCTATGCTGGTGTTCCCCCTCTTCTGGGGCTGGCACTGTCCCCCCAGGTTAGGAAGTTCCAGGTTAGCCTGAGCCAATCTGGATCCCTGCCTGCCCCCACATGTTCCACCCAGAGGAGCTCAACAGTCCTTGCACTTGTGGCTTCTGGGCCTAGGCAGCACTGTCTGTTCTGGCAACCTGCCCATTTCTCAGGCTGGGTCTTGTGTCTGCATGGAGCCTGGGTTTGGTTTTCACTCTGGCCTGGAGAAGGGGCCTGCTGAGAGCATGCTTCCCACTGGCTACCCATCCCACCCCAGGAGCGGGGTTGCAGTGGAGCACCCTGTCATGCCATGGGCTCGTCACTTTTCTGCAGAGCTGGCAGTGAATCCATCTATCAGCAGTCATCGCCCTGGTAAGTATGGGGCTCAGCAAGGTCCCTGCTACACTGATCCTAAGTTCATTAACTGGCAGAAAGAGAAGGCTGTTATCCCAGAACAATGATCAGCTATTGGCACCACATTCTGGATCACACAATGTTGCATTTACATAATTTTGTATTTTTAGGTAATACATTTCATGTGGAAAGAAAGCTGGGGGCATAAATGACTGCAAAATAGTGCAAGTCTGAGCTGCTCTTCATTTCTTATAATTAAGAACAAATAGATTAAACTCAGAACTTTGTTCCAGTTATTCTTGAGTCTACCTTCAATTTTGTGTGAGTCTATTGACTTCAGGATTAGGCCCTTTAAAAACAGAAGTTAAGAAATCTTTGCACTTTGGAATCGTATTTTATTTCATTATGCCATGTTATATAAAGGTAATTAATTTCAGTATGTTGCACAGACATTGCATCAGATGAAAACTTTGGAGATGAGAAGGAAAGTGACATTGCCTGGAACTATAACAAAGAATATTTTGTCCAGATGTTATTTGAATGCCAGTATCAACAGTTTCTAAACAGCAGCAATAACTACAATCAGAGTGAAGAATAGGTTTTACTCCAAAAAAGTAATGGATATAGCACAGAACTAGAAAACTATTAAACAGATCTTGTCTCTCCTGGAAACAGATATTTATTTCAGTTCCAGTTAGTATTATACAAGAAAAAAAGATGCCTTTTGCTTCCAGGGTTTTTTTCCCCTGATAGTTGACATGAATGGT